TGAAATCAGATCAAACTCCAAGACACTAAACACATCAGCATTCCCGCAGTCAAAATACCTTGAGCCAGCATCTCGCCAATGTTTCAACTAGCAATCCTCTGAGCTAAAGCACTATTGTATTTTATTTAGCATTGTTACTCGCTCTTAATACAGCAGATTACTGTACTGAATGTTGTTTTTAGTTTAATTGTCATTCTAAACTGTCCAGGTTTTGAACAGGAAGCCATGAGATGCCCATGTCAGCCTGTCAGCATTTTGCAACAGTAGTATGAAGCAATTTATTTTTGTTTTTCATCAAATTTTTGTCCATGTATACTGCATTTTACACTTCTATTCGTGAAAATATTCAAGTTTTGTTGTAAAGTGTCATTTCATTAAGTATTGGAGAAGCTTTTTCAAGGAATGTACAGTTGTGGGAAATATGTTCCTACACCCCCTGCGGTAACTTGTCTTCATACGGCCAACCTATATGACCTATAGCAAACCTATCCACCAAATCACATCCGTCGTTACACGACCAATACCCTTCATTCATAAATAGTGATACTATTACTGCTGTGATATTGCCTTTGGAGACACTGGCTCCCACAAGGGGTGTAGGAACACATTTCTGCAACTGTACCTCTTAATTCTTAATGACAATCAATGGGTAAATTTAACTTTATTTATGATAATTTGATTCTTGATTGAGTTTTCTAGAATGCAACCCTATTGTGAATGGAGGAACATTAAAATACCTGCTAGCCGGAATCTTTGATCTTACAGCCCCATAACGTGACGGAGAGTATGTTTACAAGATGACCAACTCTTCAATGGTGCACTTTAGATCTCATTTTTTTAAACTTATACAAGTACTGTACAGGTACTGTACTCATTTTTTTCTACTCTCCATCCAACTGAGAAAATGAAGCTCATTCTTGCCAAAGACCCAGTCAATCATCACTACGAAGTGTCTAATAACCATCTGTTGAAATCCCTGGAGCCCTATGTTCAGCTGCATCACGACCACATCAATGCTAGCCGTCAACAAAATATCACCGAGTTCTTCACCCGCCAACCACCACAGCCAGCCCAAGTCAGTGATAGTGAGGATGTGGACTTCGAGGGGTTTGACAATGAGGCCCTGCTAGCCTCTGGTGGATAGTGAAACAGGTGAGGGCCAATAATCTGCCCTCTGCCTCGGAACCAACCCCCCCATCCCCGTGTGCCCAACCATCTCTTCTACTAACGTAAGTGTTAAAAACCTAATATTATTGATATGTCTCTCATATATTAATTGTGTGTGCATACCATCATAAAATCAAGATGTTATTTTTACTAAAATGTACGTATTGTGTCGGTGATAGACAAAAAAAAAAGGGTAGTCTGGCAATAGGCCCAGTCTCTATTTCAATTAATCCCATAGGTTCTGTTATTTTATTTACGCGTTTCGCTTTATACGTGGACCTCCATGGGTTTAATTAACCCCGTAAAACCAGAATAAACTGTGTGTGTGTGTGTGTGTACAAAATTACAGTAGATCTTGTTTCAAGACATACTCGGTACTGTATACTGTATAGTGTTTCTATTTTTTTAAGCAACACAACTTAAATGTATAGAACAAAAATGATACTACTGTGCTTGTCACCGTGAGAGAACCCTAAGCAATAACTCCAAGAAATTTCTCCTTAAGCAATAAAAATTTCTTACCTCGTCATAAGAAAAAAAATTGCGCAGGTATGTAATACATTTTGCATATCACTCTTCTGATTTTTTTTAAGACTTCAATCATGATTCTTTTCATAGAAGATGTATTTTTAGAAGATTAAAATACAATACTATATAAAACTAGTATATTTCAGGTTAGTTTAGGTAGGTAAGCTCGATTAATTTTATGAATGATTAAACTATTGACGATCTATCTCAGAAACTCCAGGGAAATACTAACATTCCTAAATACTATCAGATACTGCCACATTCTTTAATTTACTGTTCATAAAATTAACCATAAACACCTACCTTACCTAAACTAAAATAATACAGTACAGGCAGTCCCCGAGTTATGACTGTCCAATTTACGAAAACCCACACTTACAAACGGGATCCCAATACACATTCAGCGCAAAAAAAATTATTGAAAAATCTCTTAATTTTTATTTGTTTTTTATTCTCATTTTTCTATATTGTTTAACACCACTTTATTTACAGTATTTACATTACCTGTATTTGTTATGTATGGGATATTACAGTATTGTTGTTTTGTATGGGCATGGTTGTGCTTTAACCTCATCTTAACTATGGAATTAACACTGTTCTGACTTATGAACAAATCGACTTACGATCAGGGTCCAGGAACGTATCCCTCTTGTAAGTCAGGGATTGTCTGTATCTTGTATTATAATCTCCCAAAATAAAACTAAAAATTCTTTGAAAAGAACCTTTTACGCACAAAAACAAACCTGGTAGATGGAGTTTGGCCTCATCCTCTTTACAGACTAAAGATTTTTTTTTCTAAATCACAAAAGTATTACTGTACAGTATTATATAAAATTTACTCTTCGTGCAATTTTTTTTTCCATTTCACAAGGTAAGAAATCTTTCACATTCCATGGGAAATTTCCTAAAGTTAGCCCTAAAGATGTTCCCACATCACCAAGTACAGTTTTACCCCCAAAATAAACCAAATCCATTTTTTCTTTCAATTCCACAAAAGAAGAAAAGATGCTTCCCATTAAAATAAATGCCATCACTTAAACACATTACATGTGAAAATTTGCTCATTACACGGGACACACATAATGCGTACATACAAAAGTGTTAACGATTATGAATCTGTGAGCCATACAGCCATCTACAGTCAAATAGCCACATTGATATTTGTGTTTAGTAAATAATTACCATATACAGTTCACTAGATACCTTTCCTTTAGGACTGAACTTCAAATTAGGGAAATTCATCATCACAAACCCTGTAACTTATATCAAATTTAAATGAAACACGTCTGTTTAAATTTTAGGTGTTACTATAGCATGCAGTCAACAAAGATATCTTAGTCTAACCTAACCTAACCTAACCTGACCTGAATATCTTGTAGACTGCATGCTATAGTAGCACCAAATTTTGTTTATATACCATGTGTGCTGCCTGTTAACATACAAGAATCTGGTTACTATTCCATAGTGACGATTCACAGAACTTTATATTGATTATTATAAGGTACTCCTCGACTTACGACCTACTTGACTTACGACCACCCGGACATACAACCGCCGCAGTCGTATAAAATATTTTTCAAATTACGTATTTTCGAGTCCCGACGTTAGTGATCGCGCTGTGTACTGACAAAGTTTTCATTTGTAATTCCCTTTAAAATGGCTGGCAAGCGTAGAAGTGAGAGTTCTCGTGGTGCTGAGAAGAAAAAGAGACACCTATTTTAGATTTTCTATGTATTATTTTCGCATTTTCGACTTACAACATGGTCGTCGGTCCCTAACCCCGTCGTAAGTCGAGGACTGACTGCACTATATAGAGCAGGGGTTACCAAACTTTTTTCACAGTGGGCCGGATAACTGAAAGAATGACAAGCGCGGGCCGCATAATATTTAAATTTAAATTGTATCACAACGTCTCGTGTTCCATACGTTTTATCAAGCAAATTCAAGTACCGTCGGCGGGCCTGATGAACTGACGTCGCGGGCCGGATCCGGCCCGCGGGCCGTAGTTTGGTGACCCCTGGTATAGAGAGATAAGCCCCCTCCCCAAAAAAAGAATACTTTACACTATAGTGTTTCTGTTGGATATTTATAGTTTTCACCTTTTTTATTTCACTTAAGAGAGTACTGTACAGATTTGTGGGGTTATTCTGTACTATACTGATTACTTCTTACTCAGCCAATTAGTGGAAGTGCTCATGTCACGCGATACTCATGCATATGCGTTTACTTGTGTTTTCGTCATAAATTTATATATACATATATTTTTTTTTTTTTTACTTTTCGATTTCAGGTTGGGTTTCTTTGAGTTCCTTTGTTTCTCATTTGTCTTGTTGGGTTATGTCAGGTTTATACACTCGGGTTTCCCCCTGGATTGGAAGTCAGGTTAGGTCCTTCTGGTTTATCTGGATAGGTCTAGTTAGTTATGTATGCTGATACTTGAGTCGTTAGGTCTAGTTTAGTCAGTTTCTTGCATGTTTTTATCTCACAATTTCCCTCTGCTTCAAAGCTGAGGGAACTTAAGAGTATATAATTATTATTATTCTTTGCTCGATCTTCCGATATAAGAATCATTATAATGTTCCGTGAATGGTCACAACGGAATATTTACCTAAACTCTTTCCACACATTCAGACAAACTGTGGCAGGCATATACAGATCCAACAAAGTTCAGTTTGATTTAATTAGTGCCATTTACATATATTGGAACATACTTTGTAACATCTGGTTTCCATACCTAAACTCTAGTCTTAAGTCATGTTGACAACCAGTTAACATAGACATGGCTAACATATTCTTATAATTAAGTAAACATAGTGTGACCAAGAAACATTGTCATTAAAGATGGTGAAAGTTTATCAGGAAGTAACCCAGGAAATGACAGAGTAGGTGTAACTGTCAGACTCATGACATAATGGAACAGTTATGTCTACAGGGAGCTTTGGTTAATCAGAAAGATATAGAAAACAGTGTATAAAGATAAAATTTGTCAAAAGACGACCCAAATAGTGTCAAAGGGAAAAATGGTCCTCTGACTCATCAACTAGTCATTAAAATGTTGGAGGGAAGAGTTAAGGGGGTTTATTGGAGTTAACTTTCATTACTCTGCTTATTATTCATAGCTATAACTCCACTGCAGTTAGTCAGTATCTTATATATTACTGATAAACCGGCATTTATTAATATTAAGTGATATTTATACGATATTTTCAAATAAACGAAAACCAGCTGATTGCAACAGGTGAAATTACCGATGTAAACATTGGAGTTATTAGTTAAATTACATAATAATTATATCTATGTCTTACCTTTACATGAAGGATTTGTCAAGTAGACTTTAAAATGTTTTACCAATTCATGATTCGTCACTCTACCACCCCGGGATATCATATAATCCCTCACAGATTCAAGAGTAAATTCATCCACCTGAGTTGCCATCACTGTGAAGCAGCTGAGCATCACCAGCCACACACCCGAGTCTTTTACCACATGTCTGCTTCTTTATTGATGTATATACTTTCTAACATTTAATATTGAACAAAAAGTATAAAAAGAAACGATTCAAATATGTATATACGATAATATGAATAGGTAGTGACGAGAAAACAATTACACTTACGCTAATTAAATCATGGTCCTACTAATTACCCAAATGTAGCCAAATATAGCCGCAATGAAGTCAAATAATGGTCCTACATGAATAAATCAGACTGCCAATCACTTCTCGATTATTATTTGGTGTCATAAAGTAAAAAAAAATTGGTAAACTTAATTTAATCTGAGTTGTGTTGTGTTGTGTTAGGTTAGGTTAGGTACATGCACTCGATCTATTAACCCAGATTAAATTAAGTTTACCAATTTTTTGTGACTTTGTGACACCAAATACTAGTCGAGAAGTGATTGGCAGTCCGATTTATTCATGTAGGACCATTATTTGACTTCATTCCGGCTACATTTGGGTACATTTGGGTAATTAGTCGGACCCAATTAATCATTTCCACCACTTATCTATCGGCTTACTAGCCGTTCGAGTTTTCGACGGTTTCTTTGTTAATTTATTATGACCTTCAGTGCCCAGTGTCAATACAGGAGAAAGCTGGAGCACCAGAAGAAAACCTTAGGAGGGTCCCACTGGATGACACTCTTCTCACATTTGATCCGGGCCGGGTATTGAATACAGGACGTAATAGTGAGAGGCACGCGCGCTTCCTTGTGTAATCAGTCTTAATTCGTGGGATGATTTATTTAGAAGAAAAAAAAACATGTTAGAAATAAATCGAAAGTCACGGTGGAAAACGAACAGTAATATTCAAGAAAGGAAATCGGAAGGGGAATTTCGTCGTTGTTTCCGGTAATTTTGAAGCCATACGTTGTTCAGGGACAAAACTATCCATGTGAAGAATAATATATGACAATGACTACCAACACCTTCAACCATCATTACCAACAGTTTACTTGTTGACATAACTAGTTCTTTCAATATCTTTTCAATTTATTAGTTTCTTTATAGCCATTCTTCTGTCAATCTTTACCACATTTAATGAGGTTATAAACCCATTTTCACTATTTCGATGTTTTTAATATGGCATAATTACATGTTCCAGCTAACTATGAATAAAGCTGGTGCGTACACAAGTCCAGTTGGTCGAGGAAGACAAGTTCACCAAGACCCAAAATAAGTCGACTAACGAAGACGAGACAAGTTGGAGCAGCTGTGGGATGATGACAAGCAAACAAAGATACCCCCCCCCCCCCTGCTCTATTGAAGGAGACATCAGATCTGTTGCACGTTGTGAAATGAGTTGATGTAACTACTTGTGTTAGTCTTGTCTGACACGCTGTAACTACTTGTGCTTGTCTATTATTTTATATTTTTTATCATGTTTGCTTCATATAAATGTATTTATATGTAAACTTTATATGCTTAACTATACGCCCCATCTTGTGAGAAGGAAATGGAAACAATAGAACACGTTTTATCGCACTGAAGAAATATTAAAAGCTAAGGGTATCATCAGGCACTGTAGTTTCATCCTTGAATCGGGAAGTTTCGTCCCAATCGTCAGTTGGGTAGTTTCGCCCTGGCCAAGGTCCTGGCCCTTGGTCCTGGCAACAATTAAACCCAAGGTCGAAGACTTGTGCCTCAAAGGCATACCATGAATCACATGCGGAGAAAGCAGTTACAAGCAGTTTGATTCTATGAATAAGAGATCCACTGCGCTACAACTGATAAAGCCCTGGATGTAGGGACACAGGGGGCATTAGATGTGACTTATGTGGATTTCTTGAAGCCATTCGATAAGGTTCCACATCTGTGTGTGTGTTTAGTAAGCTCACGACTTTCATATTACTAGAGAAAACACCTTGGAATTGCATGCTCTTTGAACATTAAAAAGCAGTCAGTACAATGGACTGGTTTGAGTGGGTCACAAATTGAAACTCTTGCAATGTTCAGCGGCATCCCTCAAAGGACTGTGTTAGGGCCAATGTTCTTCGTCACATAATATCAATGATTTACCTGACTGCAGTGTGTGGTCTCTGATGTACACCTCTTTACTGACGACTCACAGATGTTGCGACCACAAACACCACCAAATGGACCTAAACAATTTCCTGAAATACTTCTTTGGTTTCATCCACTGTGGTGTAAGGCGATAACCAATGGCAGGATAGGAAAAAAAAGAAACCATAGAGCATAATAAATGAAGGGTGAAATTGGACAAATTGATGTATGGAGGACATATAAAAAACAAAATTATCTAGTAGCTGACAATAAATTAACATTTGAAGATATATAAACGATAAATTTAAAATGGAGAACCAAACATAGGCTTGACTCGACAATCATTCACTAACATATTAATATTTTTTTTCAGACGAATATACAAACCCCAAGAAGAAACATCCCCGCAGTCGAGAATCAAATCGCAAAGACCGTCTGAAGTAGTACAGTACTGCAGTCTGCAGTTCACTATAATATTAATGACAATAATATTAAAGTTTTATTTCTGAAAACTGGGTCCATGAGCCATTGGGCCTAGGATCACAATATAAGATACAATATAGTGTGATTGTGTGGGTGGGTGCAAGTATAAAAGTGAAGTTTGATAAGATAATACGTAATCATACATCTTGAAAAGAGATGTGATAATGATGTTAATGACATCAATGAGACATAGGTTTAATGACAAGACGTCAATGGATATGAAGGCAACGTGGTGTGTGATCAAAACCTTAAGACGACGCAAGGAACACACCATGAAGAGGCTCATAACGTTAATGCAAGAGGTTTTATGCTCTTTAATACACGTCTACATAACAAGATGCGACAAAACAACTTCCCACTGTGCACTGTGGACGTATGGAACAGCTTACCCGAGCAGGTGGTCAAATCTGCAATATTGATCTTCTTGAAAAGACTGAACAAGAACTGGGCAGATCAAGATGTGTTCACCTCCAGTGCTTCAAATATAACAGAAGTTGAAAAAGTCACTAGTTCGCTTACTAACACGTCGAAGAGCTGGATATACAGACGCAGAGCCTTCCTTCGGAGGTTCACCAAGTAAACTATGGAACTAATGATAATCTAATATCTAAACAGGCTTAGTAATACTAACTATACTCTAACAACAATAATGAAATCATAATAACATTACTAATAATATCAATGACAATAATAAAAACAACTACAATAATAGTAATACTAATACTAATACTAATAATAATAATAATAATAATAATAATAATAGCTATAAATGCCTAAATTATATTATTTATCCTTAATATTATTATTAGTTTGTATTAGTATTATCACAATTATAATTATCATACTCATACAATACCTTCTTGCCGTTATGTACTGGATCATTAGAGTCATCTGCAAAGAACAGCTGTGTCACCTACCACTTGTCCCAAATAGCCACCCTTGTGCACCTACCCTTTACTCTTCCCTACACCTCTCTCACTACCTCACCCTTAATGATATTTTACAAACATGGTAACTAAACATTCCTTTGACTCTCTTACACTTTCAACTTGTACTTCCCACATTGTTTTTCTGTCGAGGCGATCATATGTTGCTGACAAAAAAAATCTTCCCATATTTTAGGTATTTCTGCATCCAATTCAACTTCATAATATACAGAGTCGTTCAAGATTCTTCGAACACTGCTGGAGACAGCTGGCAACTCAAGGACGTTTGTTTAGTACAGTACCCAGTAAAAAATTATGAATGAATGTAAAATTGGTGGCGCTGGTTGTAGAGAGGTACCCCTCTTGCCTCGCAAGCAAGATGTCACGGGTTCGATTCCCAGGCCGACGGAAGTTGTTTGGACACTCTTCCTAGTCCCCATGGTCCCTGTTCACCTAGCAACACAGTAGGTACCTGCTGTAAATCGAAAGTTGCGAATTCGTATTCAGGGACAAGTTGTTGGAGCTTCCAATAACTTACTTAGGCATAAACCATTGACTCTTCAGGCTTCTACGCCCTTAACTCATGAGACATAAGGCAAGCATGAACTTAGCATGCTTCCCTGTTGGATGCTGTAAACGCTTCTGCGCTTCACTTTACTTAGACATAAACCATTGACTCTTCAGGCTTCTACGCCCTTAACTCATGAGACATAAGGCAAGCATGAACTTAACATGCTTCCCTGTTGGGCGCTGTAAACGCTTCTGCGCTTCACTTTACACAAGGATGTAGGGGAGTGCCCAATAAAAAAAAATGTAAAAGTGATCGGTGATTGGTTACTTAGTTCTCCGTTGCTTAATTAATGGTTGGGCTTTGTTGTTTCGTATTATATTATACTACGTACTATAGTAAATAAACGGCCTTGAGTTGCCAGCTGTCTCCAGCAGTGTTCGAAGAATCTTGAACGAGACTGCACACACACACATATCCTCTTCCCTTTCTCAGTTCACATTTTTCTTTCCCTGTTTTTATTATTCTCTGTTATAATTCTCTCAATACTAAAACGAAAATTCAAATAGAAAAGTAACCCCAATTTCTAAAGTCACTAACCCCCCCCCCACACCAAATAAGATTTCAGAAAATCCGCAAAACAAATTTCCGGCAAAACTTCGTGAATAAAAACAAATTAAAGATAAATGAAGCCAATAATTCCTTAACATACATACTTCGGGTCAAGTAGTTTTTACCCCTAAAATGTTAATAAAACTTGATTTTTTCCTTTTTAGATTTGGCTCTTCACTACTACTACTACTACTACTACTACTACTACTACTACTACTACTACTACTGCAACTACAACACAGAAAAAACCGGTCCCTATATTTCTAATGAGACAATACCACCACCACTCTCCCTCACCACTCAGTTATCATCCCCACTCTCCCTCATCACTCAGTTATCATCACTCTCCTCATCACTCAGTTATCACTCATCACTCAGTTATCATCCCCTCTCACCACTCAGTTATCATCCCCACTCT